CTCATAATTCCATAATTCCATTCTACTGAAGCCATGGTGAACACATAAAACTGTATGGACTCATAAGTGCATCAATTTTCTTTAAAATTAGGGTTATTTTCTTTATAACATTATACAAGAATTGTAAATTATGTGTTGCAAACGTGTATTAACAGTAATGAAAAAATGACAATTTTGCATAATTTCACATTTCCTTATGAGTTTTTTAAACTCATTTTGTGTTTACCTTTTATTAATATTTAAAATATATCAATCATTTGTGCAAGAGGAAGTGGAAGATAATTTTAATTTCTTTTAACTCACTAGTTTGTCTTGGGTAATGTAAAACAAAAGTGGGAAATCATATGCAGAGAAATTAAATAGTGAAGGTTTCTCTCATCAATGTTACCCAAATTCAAAGAAATATAATCACATTACACACAGAGCTGAAAGATAAAACAGGATATTATTAGACTAGCTTTAGATACAAAATAAAAGACAAAAAGAGGAAAATTCAAAATCCAGCAAAACAGTTAATGGATGAATGTAGGTAAGTACATTGTTGGTTTTAACTGTAGTGACAGGTCCTGAGAACAAGGTGCCCGTGGGTGAAAAAAGGAAAGTAGAAGAGACAAGAAAAACAAGAGAGCTGAATGTCTGGGATCAGGGGGCTCACAGTCTCTTGGACTGCTGCCTTGATCACTCATCTCAATTGCCTTTTATTAGAACCAAGAACGTAACTCAGACCAGCAGGAGAAATTCATCATCCCTTTCCATTTCTGCCTCTCAGCTGATGGTAACCATGCTCAGGCGAGCCTCCCACACCCCGCACCACGGGCACTCAGCCCTGCTGGGGATCATGAGGTGACCATCAGTAATCAACCCATTAGGAATCACAGTCCTTTCCCCACAGTACATAACGCAAATAGGGTTGCGGATTCTAAGCAGGAAAAACAGCATGGTTAATTATTGTCAAATCAATAAACATGCATAAACCAAGGTTTTTCAAATTTTTTTGAGTCACTGTTAGGGTAACACAAACAAGAGCATGGTGTTAATGGAAGTGGAAAATCCTGCTTGCTACTTCAAAATCTCTTTGTTGATATATAATTTCAGTATTCTGTCAAGACATCGCTGTGTTTCTTAAATGGTTTCATTGCTCCCTAAAGATTTTCTGTGACCTCCCTAAGAACTTTAGATTTAATGTAACATGATGAAATTATAGAATCCATAAAATGAAATATTTAATTGTGTCTGGCAGAGAGATCATCACATTGATCACATTCTCAGAACTACTTTCCAATATGTATTTCATAAATTGCTTTAGAGCTGTTTTGTTTCAATGGGAAGTGATTTTAGAATATTTAAAACAGCATCAAATCATTAAAGGACTTTAAAGTTTGCCACATTTATACATCATATGCTAACTATATAGAAATTACCCACATTTCTGTGGTGATTTTTCTCTTGATTTAGATACTTAATGTTCATAAAAATTAAGGAAAAATTACAGGTTAGTTTTAAAATATTGAGAGTTTAGTGCATGGTATTTCTTTTATGAATAAAAGCAAAGCAAAAGGTAAAAAAATCAAAATACAAATAGAGACTATGACACAGGGAGATCTTTTGCTAATGGGGAGGGGAAGAAGAGATGGAGGAGAGGGGGCCTGGAGGGGAGAAGAAGCAGAGGAAAAGAACGAAGATGTGCTGTGAAGAGGCCCCAGCTGCCCACGGCAAAAGTTCTCACTCTGGACTACAACTATGTACTAACAAAAATGAAAACTGAAAAGTAATTGTGTGCACGTGGCAGCAAATTTCAGATATTCTTAGAGAGCTGTTATGTTTATTAATTATATAATTAAAATACTAAGTTTTATAATTTGATCGTACTTCCAGAAAAAGTTGGTTTTGGGTTTGTACAGTAAAACTTCACCTATTAAACAAAATTAAATAGAAAATTAGAAATGTATACTCTTCTGTTTCGCAAAGTCATTTCTGAGAACAAAAATAACTCACATTGAAGATAAAAATAACAGATTAGAGATTATTTTTTAATATTTCAAAACAGATTCAGTACTCACAGTAGTGAATTCTAACTATACTTAGGTTATATTCCAAATGTGGCATACTGATAATTTATTACTGATGAAATATTGTAAGTTTTATTCCATTTAGAGTGTCAAATGTCCTCATGGAATTCAGATATGTCCTTTAAAAACTTCTATGCCCCATTAGAGTGACAGTAGAGAAAGAAATAGAGAGACAGGCAGAAAGAAAGAAAGAAAGAAAGAAAGAAAGAAAGAAAGAAAGAAAGAAAGGGAAGAAAGAAGGGAAGGCCAGCAGGTATGTTCCAAATCAAAATAAAATAAACTATAAAACACTAAGACAGACACTGGACTCTCCATTCCTTAATCATAATTTTAAAAAAGAGAATATTGCTTTTGTAATTAAATTTTCATTGGTGCCAAGTTCAATCATGAAATTACTTGCTACACAGATAAAGACTGGGAATTGGAACTTCCAGAATTATTGCTCTGTCATTCCTTGAATATGCTTTCCATTCTCTAACTTCTAGACCTGATAAACTATACGGTTGGTTTCCACTCTCACTCCGAGCTACATAGATTCTTTAATCTTCCTGTAAGATACTGGTCAGCTTCTACCTGATTATATGAAACTTTTATTAGATGCTCATAGTCAAAATCTTTCTCTAGAAATAGCTAATCTCAGACACAGTAAGCTATACATTAACTATTGATTGAAAATGTGAATGTTTTAGTTGGTGTTATTCTGTTCCATATCTTTTCTGAATTAGGTACCATATTCGTCTAGTAGTATTGCTATAATAAAGTATCTGAGGCTTGTCAATTTATGAAGCAATGGTTTTAGACATTGAGGATCATTGTGCCAGCCGTGGTCCTTGGTGAGTGTCATCAAGGTGGATGAAATCACACTGTGGAGGGGTGCAAGAGTGAGATGTCACAGGATGAGAGAGTAAGCAGGAGGAAAAGGGGAGTCTCACCCTATCATAACAGCACACTGTCATGTCTCAGCCCATTCCACAGGACTACCACTGATCATAGGATAGGCATGACCCAATCATTTTCTACTAGAGTCTACCTCTTAGTAATCTCATGACCTTTCAATACAAGTGCACCGGGAACAAAGCCTCCAACGCACAATCCTTTGGGGAACATTATCCATATTATAGCAGGTGGAAAGAATCATTGTGCTAATTATAAGATATGAAATTTTTAAATGCAAATCTCAGAAGGGACTGGATATGAATCAATACTGGGTTTGAATTCCAGAAAATTCCAGAACAGTGGGTACCACATACAGAAAATCAACAATGGTCTACATTGCTAGGTAGGGGAGCATCCTTCAGCGCAGTTGTACAGTGTAGGCTAAATGACAGTTGAAGTAAATTCTATGAAAATGGATGCATAAGTACGTTTAAAAATAAGTGAAAAAGCAAGACAGATGGGCTTTCCCTCAGAAATGACAAGAGAGATTAGGATGACTTTCCAACCCCAGTTCTTCAGAGGTGGTACTTTTGTATGCTTTAGGGACACTGACTCCACATCAAAGTTACAGGTAGGAAATCCTTGAGACGTTCTGAGGTGACACAGCGTGGTCATGCCCAGCCTCTCACTGTCTCAAGACTTTCACCCCTCACTCAGAGTCCATGCCTTGTTTAATTGAGGAAGAATATTGTGTTTCCTTCTCAATGAAAGGTGAGAGTCCTGCAAGATCCTCACCAGAAGTCATGTAATTTCAACTCAAAGATTCAGACCACATGACCTCAGTCATAGTCAGACCAATGCAAGGGCCAGCGCTTCTCTTCCAATGAGTCTTGAAGTGGATCACAGGGTGTTACTCTGACTACACACACTTGAGGAGGAGTTCCCTGCTCACTGGAAGAGGTTTTTATGCAATCCTGAAGGTTCTCACCATTGGGCCATAGCATATGGATATTGAGTCCCATCCTCAGAACAGCCCTAGAAGGGAGTGATGCTTTTCTAGGCTACACGTTGAGTTTAAAACCAGCCAGAACTACAGAGTGAGATCTTATCTCAAAAAGACACACACAAAAAAACCTCAGGGGAAAAGCTGCTGCCTGTGGTAAAATTGGTTTACATTGTAAACTTAACAAAAAAATATCACAGCAATTGTTTACCTCTTCTTGAAGAAACAGCTGCAAGGAATATTACATAAAATAGATTATGAATAAGCAGTAATATATACAATCTATGATCTTAACAATATTCACAAAGTTGGGATTACATTAGGTGCTAACAGTGGATAGAAGAGCTGAAGTAACTGACTCAACCTAAAGAGAAGTAGATGACTTGATATTTTGCACTGACTGAAGAGTAAAGACAATTAAACTACAGCTTTTCCAGATTTCCTCAAAGCCACATGAAAATACCACCACTGCCATTTCCAGCCATCATTAAAAGTATAAAATTTATGTGTTAATGGTTCTGTAATTGCAGAATCTACATTCATTCACTAGCTTTCCTAAATGAAAAAGACTTAATTCACTTGAACATCCATCCAGGCATCCATCCAATCATCCTTTGCTCAAGTACCTGTGTAAGAAGGGTGTATAAGAAACAAGGTGCTGTACGTGTATTGAAAAAATAAGCTAATAATGTGCATCACCTTTACAGCAGATAACGTCTAATTGGGTAGGATGGCTATGAAGCAACCTATGCTTTTGATATGATAAAGAACATAAATGAGTAACATACAAAACATTTTGAAACAGTAAAAGAGAAAATGTTATACTCATTTTCATTCAGGAATGTCTTAAATGGTAGGTGAATTTTGGAGAAAAATTTTCTGTAAGAATTAAGGACACATTTTCCGGCATTGGGGATGAAAAGCTGCATTTATGTCTAGGATATGATGATGCAATTGAAATACTAGGTACATGAATTGTTGGTGGCTTAGTTGCTAATGATTACTTTGGAAGAGAAGGCTAATGTTTAAATATTAAAAGGTGCAGATTGTATTCATCTGAAAATCCACTCTCTTTCAAATAGTTTTTTAAGTGCCTTTTTCACATCCTTGTTCCTGAAGCTATAGATGATCGGATTAAACATGGGAAAGACAACGGTGTAAAACACCGCAACCACTTTATCCAAGGCAGGGGAGTAGCTGGCGGCCGGGCGACAGTACATGAACAGGAGTGTCCCGTAGAACAGGGTCACCGCCACGAGGTGGGAAGCACAGGTGGAGAAGGTTTGACTTCTGCTGCCAGAAGACTTGATGTGCAGCACGCTCTTGAGGATGCAGGCGTAAGAGATGAATATCACCACAAAGGTGCTGCTCTGGATAAAGCCACACAAGGTGAAGAGCAGAAGTTGGTTGATGGAGGTATCTTCACAGGACAGAGACAGAAGTGGTGGGATGTCACAAAAGAAATGATCAACCACATTGGAGCCACAATAGGAAAGCCTAAATGCCAGGGAAACGTGCACCAGTGAGGTGACACTTCCACTGATGTAGGCCAACAGGACGAGGCCACGGCAGACCCTGGGGGACATCAGGGCAGAGTAGAGCAGCGGCTGGCAGATGGCCGCATAGCGGTCGTAGGCCATGGCAGCCAGGGTGAGGCACTCAGCATCTGCAAAGCAGGCAAAGAAGAACATCTGCAGGGCACAGCCGTGGAAGGAGATGCGTTTTCTGGAGGCTAGGAAGTTTGCCAGCATTTTCGGAGCTATTGTTGTAGAGTAGCAGATGTCTAAGAAGGACAAGTTGCTCAGAAAGTAATACATGGGGTTTCGGAGGCTGGGATCCATATTAACTAAGATTATTAAGCCCAAATTTCCTGCCACAGTTAATGTATACACTACAAGGAAGACCACAAACAGGGTGATTCTAACGGGGAGGTAGTCTGTGAATCCAACAAATACAAACTCGGCAGGCAATGTGTGATTATGCTCCAACATCTTCTTAGCTTTTTTAAGTTTCTCTCTCAAGTAAGGTGGCATCCGATGGTGCAGACTGACTTGGGTGACAGATAAACCAGAAATATCTTTACTCTTATTTCTAAAGGAATAAAGGGAAAGTTAATAAATTCTTAAATATACTATTTCTGTGACCATTTTAAGGAGGTCATATTTAAAGATGTTTAGAAATTATCACTGATACCAAAAGAATAAACGTTGTCCAGAGGTGGTATGTGATGACACCACAAACTGGTCAATAGCTCTGTGTTCTACATGATGGTACTAAATGCTGAACAGGACGCAGATGAGAAGAGCTGCTAGAGTAACGAGAGCTGTGAAAATCTCTGTAGTCAAAGCTCTATTGTTACAATCTGAAAATCATGTTCTTTCAAGTAAGAAGAAATGGTGAAAATTTTTGGAAATGTGCTTACACTTAGACTGCATGGTTTGCAGAAAGATTTCCGTGATCTTGGGTACTGGGTAACAATGGTCGTTAAGTTTCGCAGTGAAGCGTGAGAGGCTGGGCTTGCAGTCTGAGCTTTGGTACTTGCTACCTGTGTGATCTGAGTGAAGTCCCTTAAATCATTTATGTGACGACCTGAACAGACACTCTATGAATATTTACTAAGTAAAATTCATCCCAAATAGATAAATTGACCCCCATTTTGTTTCTATTTTCTAGTTTCCTCAATACTTTGAAATATTCTCAGAGTTCTTAATTTTCTTTTCTTGTCTGGCATCAAGGATATGTAACCCAGTCTCTCTCACAAGGAGAAGTAGTTTGTGTGTGTCTTGTAAGCTGGTGGAAGGGTGCATTTGATTGAAATACATTGTTTAAAGGGATTTAATATTTTAGTCACACAGTGTGGCTATTGTTTTCCTTTCCCCAGTTTGATTTCTTTTTCTTACCCTGGATGTATAATAGTATCTGGTATGGAAACCCAGAAGCACGATTGGACATTGTGCTCCACTCATTTGGCAGACACTGGTTGGGTCTGCAATTAATAACTTGATAGTAGAAAGAAAGAAGTGCAGAGACCTGACACTATCATCACAAAATTTCCTTTCTTAAGCCCCAAGGGAAAACATGTCAGTTACAGTTTCAAACTTTGTATAGCATCCCAATCCCCACTCCAGAATTTACCTTTTCTTTCTTGCTTCTTTTCCAGCTGACATAATAGTACTGAGTTCAGTGTGACTTAGATTATGCTGACAGAGAAATGAAGGGAAAAATCATATATGGAGATATTTGTATAATCTTGAATGGGGATGGTCTGAAAGTGTAAAAAAAGCAGAAAATTTTAACTATGACTGAATAATATGAAAATATCTCTCCATATAGCTATTTATAAAACAAGTAACCTTGAAACATTTTAAGTTAAATCAGTGTAAATTCACAATTTGAAAGGAGTGCAGCCCCATACAAATGTAGTAGCAAACTCATTCAATATTTTAGCTCTAAAATTTGTAAAACATGAAATCGTTTTAGTGTGGATAGAGTCTCACAACAACCTCCTCATATAATACTGCCCACAACATAACTAAGTTCAAATTTTTGGAGAAAAAAACTGCCTGATATTAAAATTTTTAAGTATGTACTTTTAAAAATATTTTATCATAATAAATTTCTTATAACAAATGAAGCTCTATGCCGTTTGACATATGTTAATGGATAATTTCAATTAAAATTGTTTATGCAATCATTAAAAATCTTGGGATATATTTGAGCACTTCTGTAAATTTTCAAATATTAATAAATTAGATATATACACTTTTGTTCTTGTTTTGTTTCATACAGAATTAGTAATTAAATGTTAAACTGAGAATATTGTCAAAATGAAAATATTTTTTGCAAGAAACAACCATACATAAAATGTGGAATAATTTGTACTTTGTTTCCTGATACTTTTCTGTGCTTTTAAACATTGTATTGACTATTAGTTTTGTATTAAAGATAAATTTTATAATGCAAGATTCCTAAAAACCAAACCCTGAAGAATGTGAAGAAAATCAGCTGATTTAAGACTTTAGAAGTTTCATTGGGATCAATTTATTATTTATCAAAATCGTAGGAATCAAGATTTTTCTTCCCATAGATAATTTTGAAAGCAAGTAATTTTTTTACAGTTACACACGACTTTTATTCACCAAAATTACTCTAAAATGTGTTTTGATAAGTCATAACTGGAAGATGTGTGTGTATGTTTTATATTATTTAAAAAATTTTGACAACTTAAGGTAAGCCTCTTTCATTTCTGTTAATTTTGCTATTTTTTCACACATCATTATGGTAAATGCTCAGAGCTAAACATTTGTGAAAGTGCTTCATATCCATGAAAAAGTTGGCATTTAGTAAGAGATTTCGGTTGGTAGCAATGTCAGTAATAAACACTGGTAGAATCTTGATCACAATGTTTTTGTTTTAGGTTTTTTATCTTAGTCCATAGTCAAATTGAGAATTGCTTCCTATCCATAGCTCTGCTTCAATTTACTCTTTCTGTATTTTTAGGGCAGAATTTAATAGTGTTAGCATTTCAGGGAAGCCAATACAGACTCAGTATAATCAGAATGTTTCTGTAAGAAAATCCCCAGCGAGCTAAGTATGGCTACACACACATATTTTTCTCTCACATTCTATTTTGCCTTCCTTGAAAGTCAAATCAACATAAAGTGCTTGTTTATCAAAGATAAGAAAAAATAGAATTCTAAATTTTGTTTAGAGACAATATAAACAAAAGTAGTTCCTCCAGTAGCCTTATCAACTAAAGATTTAAACTTATGAATTTTAAGGTATCAAAAATATACCTTACTTATGAGATTCTGCAATTGCCTTCCAGAGACTATTCAATCAAATCACTATCAGCATCAGTATTTTAATTTTAAGAACAATCTATATTGACATTGCAGATTCACCACATTTTCTGTTTATGTGCTTTAGAGTTTGCAAGGCTGGTATGAAAGAGGCCGCAGTAGGGGACAAAATGAAGAGAATAATTAAATACATAGATCTAGGCTTTAATTCTGTGATATGTTATGAACAATTCTACAATTATATATTTCTTAATTTGTAAACGTGTACCTATTTCATTTATTAAATCATGCCTATTCTATTATGTAGCTATGTGAAAGACAAATTCAGCTGTGCACATTTAAGAGCTCTCAAAATGTTTAACAAGCTTTTGTTTGTTTTGAAATTATTATTCAAATTGTTAGAATGTAATGGTACTGTGGCATAAAAGATATGCTTAAATCATTTGTGGAAAAATAGATGCATATGAGATGCTTGTGTTCAGTGAAATAAATCAGACACACAAGCTTAAACATCACATGGATTTTCCTAACCCAAAGTAGGCAGAAGTGGGGGCACACATCTATAATCCCAGGACTTGGAAAGTTGAGACAGGAGTACTACTGCAAGATTAAGGCCAGCGTGGGCTACATAGTGACTTCAAGGGCAGCCCAAACTACATACTGATATCCGGTTTCAGAAAAGAAAAGAAAGAAAGAAAAGAAAAGGAAAGAAAAAAGAAACCCAAAATATAAGCAAATTAAAAAGGAAAATAAAAGATAATAGAGGCTTTTGTATAAAGAAAATAAAGAATACCAGGGTGGTGGTGCGCACTTATAATCCCAGCACTCGGGGGAGGCTGAGGCAGGAGGATCCTTGTGAGTTTGAGACAAGCCTGGGCTACAAAGTGAGCTCAAGGCCAGCCTGAACTACATAACAAGATCTTGTCAAAAAAAAAAAAAAAAGAAAAAGAAAAAGAAAATGAGATCAAGAGATGGAGTGTTGAGGGAGAGAGTTAAGCTATAAGAGGTGAAAAAAGATTTAAGATTTACTATGTATATTTACCAACTTTCTAGGAGGAATGCAATTATTATTTGCTGTAAAAATATACTAATAAAAAAATTAAAATTGGAAATAAAATAACATAAACCATGTTTACTAGAATACATCTTGTTTCTTCAATTTGAAATGACAAACAAATGAACAGAGAAATTAAAAAAAAACTTTGCTAGGGACAAATAAATTGTAATAAGGACAATGTCACTTTCATAATAGTATAACAACAAAGTCATACAATAAACTCTCTTTGAATCATTGTTACTTCCGTTTTCTGTACCCAGAATGTTGACAAACCTTATGGAGCACTTGATTTTCTAAAAATCATCATCCTCACTGTAATGAAAACCATAGATAATTGATAAAGATATGGAGACTGACCAACATATTTTCCATGCACCTGGCATGCATAATTCCCTTTGATTTTCATAGTTATCTTTTGAAATGGATATATCTTTGTAAAACATAATGCCTGAATCCTAAAGATGTAATTAACTTGTCCATTTTCATAACAGTCAGAGTCCAGTTCTCAGTTCATACTCAAAATACCATAGTGCCTTTGATCTTGAAGAGTGGGTTATGAATGATCTAATCCAAAGTCTTAGTTTTCAAATGTGATAGCTGAATCACATTCACAGAATCATCGAACAAGTGACACATGACTTTAATAAGTATCACTTAAGAACAAGGCCAATCATGTTTCCTTGAGTGCTCATGCTAACGTCAGTGCTGTTTAGATTCTTTGCATTTCATTGTTGAATAAGAGGCTGACCACCCCAGGGAAACTGCTATTCTCTTGCTGGATTTAGATCTTACTACTCTCATCTGAGGTCAGAGGAATCTCCTAAATTGAGCTGACACCCTTCCAATTCTGAGAAAAATCTCTTTTATAATCTATTTCTAAAAGGAGTTTTTCTTTTTTTGAAGGAGATATCTATGTTATAAATTATTTTACAGCCACTGACATTCATTTCATTGTCTTTTACAAATGGTACCCTCTTGCATACATTAAGCACATAAAATTTGAAGTTAGAAAATCTTGAGTTTAACTTCAGGTGTGAAATTTAAACTTCTAGAAGTCATTGAACTTTCTATGCCTAAATTGCTTTCTTTGATTACTTCATATAATAAAATATTATAAGGTTAAAATGAAGAA